CCAATACTAAGGGGCCAACGTTTTGCCAATGAGCAAATTCTCAGGGGCCCTGCGCTGGCAGCCCTAAGTGGGCCTGTAAAGGGCCAGTGCAGGCTTGTTTGCAGGGATTCCATGTAGACAAACACCACATTTACTGGCTTAGTCGCGGTGAAAGTGAAACTTTAATGATGCATAGTGCTTAAAGCCACGTTAAAATTAAATGTTTATGGCCACATGAAGCTGTTACGAAGCATATAGATTGGAGGATTTTCTAGAAGCAAGGATAAAATAACATTTTGCGTACCCACCCTAACAAAACGATAGCTGAAATGTGGTACTTTATTCACTACTTAATGACAGTTGTCATAAACATGCATAAAAAACCTTCATATTCATGACATGTGTCATGTCATGATTATGTAGGTGTCATGTCAGTCTTATGCACACCCCTTCAAGTAAAGTGTAACCGTTTAATCTTACCATATCCAAAAACTCGCTCACTCGCTGTTATTTAATAGATTAAATGCACTAGAATTTTATTGAATAGTATGTGGAGACACGTTTTTAATTAAAATATTCATATTAATCAAGGATTTATTGACTTTTAATGCACCTTATTTCGAAATGTACAGAAATACATGCTTTCATATGTATTTTAGTTATGATTATTTCATTTATTTACTATACTATTTATTACTAATGTCTCATTTCAGTTTTAGTTTGGCTCTAGTTTTGTATTTATTCCAGTTTATATGAAAAGGTTCATGTAGCGTGGATTAAAATTCATATACAGACTAAATCCTTTTCATTGAGCGTGTTAAAAATAAGTTTGAAAAAGTTGTGGTAAGCGTGGTGGTGACGTTGAAGGCGAGCGACTGTGGTGCTGTAGTTTGTTACGTTCTGGCGCTTTTATTTAGGCTTCAAAATTCATAAAAGTTATATTATTTTGTGAAGATTATCTTGATGGACAAAACTTGTAAGTTTCATGAACTATGATTGAACACAGAGCTTATTTTTTGCGATAATCCAAAAGCCTATGGAAAAATCCTATTGGCTTTTTGTCGAGGGATCCAGTGCTTTGCTAACAGCCGATCGGCCTACAAAGTGACGTCATAGTTCCCCCACTCTATTGTTACTATTATATTGGTGGCCTCATATTAGCATATGAAGAGTGAGGCATTTAATTGGATAGTCTGGAAGAAATGGTTATTTTTCAAATGAAAGGGCTTCGAGAATACTTCAAAGAACACACAATGTGTCCTCAATGCAATGCAAAACAGGTCATCAAAACACAACAGATGTTACTGGCAATATGTTTAGCCAAAAGGCAGTATAGCTCGACCTGAATCAGCTGCAGACACATTTTATGGCACTTTCAGTGAGAAATTAAGAAATGAATCGACAAAAAGAAAACATTGACAATGCCTGTATAAAACACACAGGGTTAGTTCTTTGAAAATCATCATTTACTCACCCTCGTGTCATTGCAAACCTGTAAGATAGTATTTCTTACATTGAACATAAAAGGAGATATAAAAAGCACTGTAAAAGTGGTGCACATTTGTGTTCCACATGCAGAAGAAAGAAAATCACAAGGGTTTTGAACAACAAGAGGGTGAGTAAACAGTGACAGAATCATCGTTTTTGGGTGCACTGTCCCTATAAAAATACTTTCATACGGAAGCAAACTTCATGCATTTCCAAATATCCGCTTCCTCTCAGTCTTTGGCAGTGAGTTGACATTCATTACGCTTAGCATTTGGGCATGGTCCCCCTTGACATGCACCAGGAGTCAGATGGCCACACAAAGTGAATTTCAATTTGAATCGTTTCAAAAGATTCCAGTGAATGTTTCTCATTCCCGTGTGAGAATGACACTAATCCCACTGCAGCACTTGGCTACACTTTGGAAGAACGGTAGGATTATTATGTCTAAAATGCTGCTCCATAAAGTTTGCAACCACCCGGTGTTTATCAAGACGACCTGCACACATGGCGTAAAGAACCTGAAACCGAGAAAAGTGTGAAAGCTTAGCATTTTTGTTAAATTTAAGTAAATAAATCTTATAAACATTTATGGAAGCGTAATACAAACACGCAATTTTGACTTTTTTCTCAGAATTGCATGATATAAACCCGCAATTGCCAGTTACAAAGTCAGAATTGCATGATATAAACTCGAGTTTGTATCGCAATTCTGACTTTTTTCTTGTAGCCTAATTGCAAGTTTATATCTCACAATTCTGACTTTTTTCTCGCTATTCTGATTTTTTTCTCAGAATTGCATGATATAAACTCGCAATTGCTAGTTATAAAGTCAGAATTGTGTGATATAAACTCACAATTGCGAGTTATAAAGTCAGAATAGTGGGATATAAATGCGCAATTGCAAGAAAATAGTCATTTAAGGGGGAAAAAGGCTATGTTCTCAGAATTGTGTTTATATCTCGCAATTCTGCCTTTATTTCTCACAATTCTGGGTTTATATCACGCAATTCTGAGGAAGAAAGTCAGAACTGTGAGTTATAAACTCGCAATTTCGAGAAACAAGTCAGAATTGTGAGATGAAAAGTCACAATTACCTTCTTTTTATTTTTTATTAAGTGGTGGAAATGGGCTTCCATAAAAATGTCTAATAAAAATGCCAGGGTCATAGGTTTGATTCCCAGGGAATGCATAAACTAATAAACATTTATACCATCAATGCAATCTAAGTCACTTTGGATAACAGCAATAAAGGGGCCATATGATGCGATTTCAAGTTTTCCTTTCTCTTTGGAAACTGTTTCCTGATCCTGGAAGAGTAGACTACAATGCCGGCTGTTCTGACTCACAGACTGTAAGTACGTTTTTTATATTTAAAGGATTTGCCACTGACGATTCAAACGCGAGTTTTGAGCAGTGTAGAGTAGCGCTTGTTGTTTGTCATTTCTCCGATCACACATGCAGACATGGTTTTATTTTTACGGGCACGATGCAACGCAATGCGTAAAAAGACAGTATAAGTCATTATAATCCATAATTATGTCCTCATTGGTTGCAACAAATGCCTCGTTTATAATGGGTTTTATTGGTTTTGTCTCATCACTCCGGGACACGGCATCACAGTATGGTAAGGGTGTAACATTTCCGTCACACACTTGAGGTATTCGGCCACTCACAACGCACTAGATAGCTGGCCAATCAGAGCACACCTCGCTTTTCAGAACTGTGAGCTTTGTAAAAATCGGCGCGTTTCAGAAAGGCGGGGCATAGAGGAGAAACGATAATGTACAGTATGTAGAAAATAATGTGTTTTTTGAACCTTAAACTGCATAAACACATTTCATTACACCAAATACACAAAATAATGTTCTTTTTAGCAACATCATATGACCCCTTTAATGTAAATGTAAATTCAGAGGATCTACTCATACCAAATGTGAACAAAGCTGAGGACAGCGAAGAGAATCCCAGCGAGGAGGGACACTGGAACTGCCAGCAGAGCTGTGATGATACGGTAAAACCAGACCCTGGACACCTCGAAAAGAGCGTGACTCCAGATCCACACCCGATCCCCGCTGCGCACAGACACCGGCTCTGCTATCACATCCTCAAAACGAACCTGTCAGAAGAGAACTGTCAGGAAAGTAGCATCTTCACTTTGCCCTCATCTACTTTAAAATGAAAACGTCCCTTTAAATCTAGTCAAGCCGTTTTAGACATGATGATTCATTTAAAAATATGTATCTAAATTTACATGACTAAGCTAGCTAAACTAATTTTGTCTAAGCTAATAATCTTGCACTATCATATATTATTAAATAACCAATAAATTTGACAACACTATTCATAAATCATGATTTAGATTTGATTTGACAATTTAGACATTATTTAAACATTTCAATGTATTTATACATCTAGCTTGTACATAAAGACAAAGCTGACTAAGCTAATATTGAGCTAAGCTAAACCTGACACAAGTCATAAATCATGATTTAGATTTGATTTTACATTTTAGATATGATTTTACATTTTTGTATGTATAGCTTCTACATGAATAGGGAAAAACTGGCCTAGCTGGCTGAAGTAACATTGACTAATTTTCACTGACACACATAAAGTCTCCAATGGACCTAACAGCAGTGGTCATAAATGATAAATTTAGCTAATGCACACACATATTCTAAAACAAATTAGCTAAGCTGATTGGTTGTTTTAAATGAAAGGCGGGACAGCTGCAGCTGCATTATTGAATGAATTTGCATTTCTCTACTATTGATCCCCTCTCTCTGTTTGTAGTACTTCACTGTATTTGGTATGTATCTTAAACTCTTAAGTGAAGTATTTTAAACTGTATACTGCAACCAGCAACTTAGTATGAGCAACGATTCATAACATAAACAATGCTACAGTAGCCCTATAAAGCTACTGCAAGTCTGTAATAGTTGAGTAATTTGTCTAGTCGGCTCATTTAAGAGGCAGTTGCTATTATTGTCCACATCATTGGAGATATTCACACATGTTCTTCTAATCCATCTCCTGCTACCAGCTGTGGTTGTCTGCAATGTCAAGACATTGTCCTTACTTTGGAATAGAGTGGATTCAATAAAGTTGAATCTAATTTAGCTTAATACAAATGCCAAAATGTTGTTAAATATCAACAAAACAAAAAAAATCTTAAATCATGATAGATTTATTTGAAAAGGAGAATTACTCAATTTAAGTCTGTCAATGGGGTAAGAAAAATACATTTTTCTTTTTTGATTTGTTTATTTTTTCCATTGGGATATTTTGCCTTCTTTTAGGCATACACTCACTTAATGTTGATACATTGTTCAGAAAACAAGACAATATCTTAAGTCATTTTGTTTCTTAAGTCTTGTTTTTATTATCAATCACTGTTACTCAGTTATTTGATTTTATGCTTAAAACAAACAATATCTGTCAATGGGGTAAGTGTTTTCCATTTGAATTAAGTTTTGTATTACCCCATTGACAGATATTGTTCTTGTTTTAAACATAAACTCATTTAATTTTGATATTCTTTCCTTTTCAAAAACACAATGTAATATCTTAAGTCATTTTGTTTCTCTGTCTTTGTTTTTGTTTTTGTTTTTGTTATTAATCACACTTCTGTGAGTTTAAGCTTAAAAAAAGGAAGGAATTTCTGTCAATGGGGTAACAAAAAATCTTTTGAATTAAGTTTATTTTATGATTTACATGTGTGTGTGTGTGTGTGTGTATGTGTGTATATATATATATATATATATATATTCATACATTCATGTACGCCAG